CGCCACCTCCGAGCAGCCTCCCTTTCCACCCTCTGCCTGTCTCCCAGGTTCCCCATTATTCTTTATCCCACCTCTAATTCATTTTCTCCAGGAAGTACCCAGTTTTTGACCATGTTTTGCTCTAGCCATTTGGGAATAAACCCTGTAAAGGGATTGGTCTGATCTCTTCTGTGCTTTGCTGGTGACATCCCACCTCTTGTAGAATCAGGCCCATAGGAGATGCCCAGAGACTGCCGGCTGGGTGGTAGGAGGGCAGATAAATAAGCACTGAGCTTTGTTTGATTAGCTTGTTAGTTTTTTTCGGGTCCCCTTGGAATTGAGACTTAGCTCCCTGGGCAGGGATCAAACTTGGGCCACAGTGGCTGGAGATAGCTTGATGGTGCTGGACCTTAACCCCTGCGCCACTGGGAGGCCCAGTTTTTAAAATTCTAATGTCATTCTCTGCCAGCTGCTGGTCCTGTTAAAATCGAAGGTGAGATTCAATTGGCAGGAGAGGGTGGAGATGTGTGTCATCTTCAGAAAGGGGTTCAGAGATCACTGACTGTGAAACCTCCTTTGTCTAGTTACTGGTTTTAAATATGCTGCTGTCCAATCCAACAGTCTTCGAGTCATATGGCACTTAAGTGTTTGTGGGTCTGGTATGTGTCTTTCTAATACCTGATGAAGTCAAGGTGAACCCAGGAAATGACCCCTTTGCTTTTTTGTTTTTCTTTCTGATTTGTATAATGTAGGAGGTTCATCAAGAACGGATTGCATTGGAAAACCAGTTGGAACAACTTCGTCCTGTCACTGTGTTGTGACCCCCAAGATTCAAGTAACAGTGGGTGACCTTTTCTGCCAAGATCTTTCCTTTGAATGTTTCAACCCAGCTACTTGTCATAGACGTCTGATTGTGTCAAAAGCTGTGCACAATGGACTATGACCCACCGCGCCCTTTCTCTTGTACTTCACTGACATATTTTATTGTGGTGGAAAAATACAGCTGATTTTCACACTTGACATTGTAATTATCAGTGGAATTTATCTCCCATTCTCAAGGTGTTAGATGTTGCTCCTTACCAAAAAATTAGTCTTCTAGCAAATAAACATAATTTAGAATATTATTTATTTAAAGACTTTATAATTTTTAGACAACCTTATATCTAGTACCTTCAGGATGCTTGTTTTATTTTTGTATATATATCATATACAGTAGGTTGGTTTCCTGCATATTTGGAGTTCCTGCCAGATAGTCTTTGGCATGATGATCGTATAAACTAAAGCTGAAATAAAACAAAGCCTCCGGTTGAGACTGGCACTGTGTCCTCCCACACTGTATGCCAAAAGCTGCTTCTCCAGTGCCATTTTGATACTCGATCTAGCTAGAAATAATACGTGGCTGTTGTTTTCTATGGAATGTCAAAGGCTTATTGGGTCTTTCCACCTCTGTAAATTGGACATTTTGCCAGTGAGCTGTTTGACTTGGCCAGACTAGGCCATCAAGCCAGACAACTCAGTGCTTCCACATGAGGTTCTGCGTGAGCCCGTTCTGCTTTACCCACCTCACGCAATCAGAGTAAGTACATAGTTGTCGGGCCTCCGCTTTTACCCTGCATGGGATAGCGTGTCTGTAAATGCATGAGTTTGGGGACCACCATCAAATGCGGAGGGCTGATGCAACTGTTGGGATCCATAAATATTTGTTGTTTGACCCATGTCTTCAAACAGGGGGAGATGATTGTTACCACCAATTTAACAGCCTTAGGTAATTGTTATTGCAGCGTGGATTGTGAGGTGGAGTATATTGGGGATGCAGAAATAACGAAAGAAAACCTTTCTCACTGGTTAGCAACCATTTTGCTCTCTGTGAAGTGTACCCTAGCGGAGTGGTTGGCTCGTGGGTAGTCAGAGTAGCCCCACTGACTCTGTGTAAATGCAAACAAAAGCTGCAATGGCAGAAATCACCCCGAAGAGGTGCAGAGAGTTGCTGCTTCTGCGAGGCCTACGCTGAGCTGGGGCGCTCACCCCTCGCGGGATGGCAGGGCCACTACACTGCCACTTTGCAACCCAGGCGGGGCTGCTGTGTCCTGTGCGTTTTGCTCATTTATCCATTTTTAGGCTAGCAGGTGGGTGTGCCTTGGCTCCTTTTTGAAGTGGTTTAGGAGAGGTTTGCAGTATGTAGGAGTAAACCTTGATTTCAGTCAAGTAGAGAGCTTTGAGAAAAAGTAGGTGTTTATTTAATGTTTTCATATCAGTCTTGTAATGGCAGAAGGGAGGAAAACCAAATGGTTGACTACTCTGTATATAAAAGGATTTTGAATGGCTTGATTTTGAAATTCACAAAATGTGGACTGTTTATTCTCCTTTCCTTTTGGCTGTCTTTCCTGTTGGGTCTCTCTATGGGAAGGGTTTTGGATAAGCACAAGCCCTTCCTGACATTTTGAATGGGCCAGTGCAAATGTTTTTAAGCAGCCCCTTTCCCCACGTTCTGAGGTCTGGGGCTGCCGCAAACGTGCACCAGTGTCGTCATTGTAGACACGTCCTGGCATGTTTGCCCTCAGCATGCTCAGTGCAGGGACGACCAGTGTGCGCATGCTGTGTCTCCTCTCCTGCGAGGCACATGCACTCACTCGAGCTGGCGCTGCTACCCAGTCAGCAGGCAGGGGAGCGAGGGAGGGCTTGTGTGCATTGTGCATAAAACTTGCCGTGTTTTCTCCCCACCCAGCCAATGCCAGAGTGAGCCAAATGAGGAGCTTGGGGTTTTGTTTGTGGGCTTGGTTTTCATTGAAGGGGAAAATTCACATTGTGCAGTCCAAGTCCTGTGTGTTGCATAGTCTCAGCAATAATCTCAGATAGGCATCGCAGTAACGCCCACACCAGTGACATCCTGTGCTCAACCTTCTTGACTGCACTTCATAGTAGCTACAGTTTAGTTGCTTAGATTTTTAGAAGATGTTTAAGTGCAGAGGCACGTACTCGTGTTCGTATAGCGTTAGAGCCTCTGTTTCTTTGCTGTCTTAGGACGTGCCCTTGGAATTTAGGATTTTTACTCCTGATAATCTTTCTGTGAGTCTTTCATGTGATTTCTGGGATGGCTGGATTTTTGAAATCACTATTAATATCTCTTCTGTAAAACAACCACGGTGGTTTAGTGACCTTGTTGTTAAGTGGTCTTCCCCACAAGAGTCTAATAGTCCTGAGGATGAAAGTGCAGTCAGAGCTGCTAGTGACCTTGTGGGTAGCACAGTGTTTCATGTTTAGGTGTCTCGCTTTTACAGTGTCCTGTCCAGTCAGACCAGAAGGTAGACCATCTGGAATGGAGGTGCATGATGTCATCAAGACAGGCATTAGTCTTGTTGGCAGGTTCGAACTGCTTTATAAAAATATTAGAAAAGTGCTTTGGATCTAACTGGGAGAGGAGGCAGCTTGACACTGTCCATTTTGCTTTCATTGGAAAGTGGAGTGCCGGGCCGGGAGGACCGCACCCCTGTCGTGCAGGTTGCACGTGCGCCCTGGGAAGCCACAGCTCTGGTCCGTGGATCCAGATGAAGGTTAGCGGGTGGCAGAGTTGGTGTGTCAGCCTGATTCCAAGTTAAGTCTTTAGCCACTAGCGATAATAGAAATTGTTTAGAAGGGTTCCTTTTGTTTACCATACTGCATTTTGTTGACTTAGCCTTAAAATATGAAAACATATTTTAATGAGTTTTAGGTATCTCTCTCTCTAAAGCAAAATGTAAAATCTGAAGGGAAAGAATATGATCAAACAATTTGTTCTTCTGAACACCTCACCTTTCATGATGCAATAAATTACTCTCAGTTTGTTGGCACAACTTTTGACAGCTGTTGCTTTGAATGGATTCCATGCCTGTATTCCTGATGGGAGTTTGTTTTTAAAGTAGACTACTGTGATTGAAATGAACTCAATATGTAGTAAGTTATGGTTTTCTTCAATATATTTTTGGTTACTTGGATCACAAATGTTCAATTTCAGTGTACTTTAGGGTGAGTAATCAAAAACATGATTTTTGCTTTGATACCCTACCAATGTTTGAACTATCATAAAGCATTGTTCTCTTCATATGTGACTTGATTCTATAGTCTGTTTCTTAAATGATCTCAAAGCCGAGGTAATAATAGATGTGTAGAAGAAGATCAATACGGGGAATGCTGTAAAAGGGACATGTTTCTTCATTAAGACGGTCCTCGCCAAGGTTGTCTTGTAAGCATCAGGGCAGGATCTCAGTCACAGTGCAACACCTCAGTGCGTCAAGCATTTGTTCTGCACACACCTGGAGTTACACCTCCTGATTAGGCTGACTAGGCATCACCAAGGGGATGTGATTTCTTAAATATAAGAAAAACAAATTTCAGATGTCATAGTGTCCAGATCTTCCCATTTTGACAAGTAGGACTCTGTAGGCCGTGGCTTCAACAATGTGAGTAGGAGAAAATGAATTGCCACTTGTAAGCCCTTTTCCCTTCTAGTTAAATGGAACACTAGTAGCTTTGGTTTCTCTTTCCAACCAGTTTACTGTTTCCAGTGAATTCTTTTAAAACTCTGATTTCAAAAGAAGACTTGAATTTATTTTGAATTATGGGTTTTTTTTTTTTGTTTTTTGTTTGTTTTTTTTTTTTTTTTTTTTGCATCATGACTCAGTGTGGTCCTGGTTCCTCATAAGAACTGAGGGTTTGAGTTTTGGATTCTGGGTTGGCATATCCTGCTACTCCTTCGGCATAGGCTGAGGGAGGCCGCTCACCAGCGCCAGTGCAGTGGTTGTTACTGGCATCTTGAGTGCGAGTGTTACCTGTGAGCCGCCCTGCTTGCTTTGTAAGCTGTAAGACCCTCCCAAGGACCACTGCAAGGACAGCAATGCAGGCACATTCCGAGAGCTGCTTCCCTTCCCCAAATAGGCTTTCCGAGACTGCCTTACAAGTGTTCCCTGAAATAGCCCATCTACTGGTAGAAGCAGCTCATGCAGGCTCACTGCTGCTCCTGGGTGTGTGCAGTTATTTCATGCATTGCCTAACAAGTGATGATAACGGGGCATTTTCTACAAAGGCTTTGTAGGATTTTCATTAAATGAACTTGTTCTAGTTACAGAAACCTTGTCTCAGCCGTTGGAGAGTATTTATTTTTTGTGTTTTGTGAGTTCTCTTGTCTTGTTCTGAGCTAAGTTCATGGCCATGGGAGGTTGCGCAAAGTGGGTTTATAACTGAAAACTGAAGGAAGCCCAACTTTAAGGGAAACTTGAAAACTCAAAGCACTCTGGACAAGACTAGATCCTAACGCCCTTCAGTCAGCCGAATGAAATAGTGGATGCAGTGGCCCCTCAGATGGAGATTAGCTCGACTGAGCTGTGTGGTGTTTCCCTTTGTTTTCAGGCGCCCGTGTGAGTGCTTTCACTGCTTTGACCTTGGCGCTGACGCTCTTTTCCTTAGCACCACCACTGTTTTTTGTCTTTAGCACAAATAAGATGTTCAGGTGAGCCAGAGGCAGGAAGAGCCATTTTAACCTTAATACCAGTGGGCCAGGAGAGATAATGAGCTGATGGTCTATTTTAACCTCGAAAGTAAAAATGTATATTTTTTCACTACAGGTACAATGAACAGTAAAATGAGTAATGGCAAAGTATATATTTGATGCCTACTGTCTTTTCATGATAATGTGCTAACAAGTTGTATTGATATTTGGCTCAGAGTCTCATTTGTTTGCTTAGCACTAGGAATGTTATGTATACTGGTTTTAAACATAAGTGCAGGGTTTCCTGTATTTGGGTTGTGACTTGTAGACACAGTCTGACCTCGCTGCCTCTTTTCACACTTGTTGGGAACTCTGTGAAGAGCAGAGCAGGCTAAGAATCGCCAACTTTGGAAAATGTACATGATGTGAACTGGGGTGCTATGTTAAAAATAAATGTATGATAATGAAGTGTGGCTTTTATGGCGTCTTGGTGTCATTATGTTGTGGTCTGCATTTGATCTGGTGCATTTGATGCAAGCGACATGAAAAGGAACTGGAGGTCTTTCCAATTAAATCAGACCTTGGGGCCTGGTTATTTTTACTTCCTGGTGACCTAAGCAGGGTCCTTCAGTACCTGTACACAGCTAACACCAGGCAGTCATTGGATGGCATGCCTAATTCACAGTGTATTTAAAGATCCCCTGAATTGAAAGCTTGGGTTAATGTGGGGTTAGTTATTGGCTTCATTTTTTTTTTTTAAAGATTTATTTATTTAGTCATACAGAACTGGAGTACAGGCCAGAGATGCGGAGGGTGAGGGGATTCACCAGAGACAGAGCGGGAAGCAGAACA